CTTAGTGGGATTTTATTTTTATTACCGCATCAGTGGGAGAACACAAAAATAAAATCTTTTCTTTTATCTGTTTGAGGAAGGGCTTTGCTGTCTCCTCTCCTGGTAAAACAAGGATAAAAGAAACAGGCGGGGAAATAAATGATATTGTTACAGAGGCATTATCTTTAAGCCTACCCATGATATTTGAATTGTATTGGTGAATTGTAATCAGGTATTTTAGCTTAGCTCTCCGTGTTGAACGCCTACCATCTGGTATTGGACGACGGTGTGACAGACAGAGGGCTGTAGAAGGAGGAGGAGGTGGCGCGGTGGGGTCTGAGAGGCAGAAAGAAAAACCTTATCCAGCTGAAAAGCCGGCCGTCTTTACTTCCCCAATCTCTAAATCTACACATTGTAATGTAAGCCCACAGACAGGAAGCCCAGAGCAAACAGTGTTTGTATGACCAGATATAGGCTGGAGATCTTTTCCAATCACAGGGCTGTGTTGGGGCTTTGTCCACTCTGAGTGGGTGAAAAAAGAAACAAAGCTCGACTTTAAATTGTTTTACCATTTAGACGGTATTCTTTAAGCCCCAATAATGCTCAGTTTCTACTCAGATTTCAGAAATCATAGCCCAAGATAATGTCCTGTGAGATCGGTTGCTTTCCTTCTATTTATATTTTTACTTTGAATAAGGAGTTAAAAGGTCATTTTTATGTATTATTTTACTATTTAGATGTATATACTGTGTGTTTGTGTGTGATTCTTCAAACCTCTGATGTGTAATCCTACTTATAAACAGTACTTTTGGTGTTATTTGTATAAAAACAGCCTGTTTTAGTGCATTTTATGAACTCCACCTTCTTCATATGTTCGGTAAACATTATGGCTTGTTGCAGTTACTTTATTTACTTTTTTTGTTTGTTTTCACAGTGCCTTCACAGAACATGAGAGACGTGTGAAACATTCTTCGAGCTGGGACTACAAGTATACATAGGTTTAGGTTTGAATTATATCCACCTTTAACATAATGAACTATTTTTCTGTTCATTTGATTTGTAATGGCTTTAGGTATTATTAATAATAAAACAAGATCATCATTTAAATTCAATACAATTTAGTTTATTTATATAGTGCCAATTCACAACACATGTCATCTCAACGCACTTTACAGTTCACCAGATCATACAGGCTAATTGATTCAAAGTTTTCTATCTGATGAAAATCAGTTGATTGCATCGACTCATTCCCTAAGCATGCTTGTAGCGACAGTGGGGAGGAAAAAGTCCCTTTTAACAGGAAGAAACCTCCAGCAGAACCAGGCTCAGTGTGAGCTGAGGCCGACTGGGGTTCAAGGAGACAGACAAAAAGATACAAAAAGCAACTGTAAAAGGCGGCCCGGTCCAGGAAATATACAGCCAGGCAGACGAGTTCCGAGCCAACTGTCACGTCAGAGGATGAAGAGAGCACATCCACCCAATCACAGTCACATTTCACAAAGAGACAAGTCTTCTCTGCTCTAGAAAAGAAAACTTTGCCCAAAATTGATCAGATTTTAGTTATTTTCAAGGGTATATCTATCTCCCTCATTTCTAGAAATATGAGCATTATGAGAATTTTCTCTTTCTTAAGAATACACTTTCTAACTTTACTTCTTTTTCAAAAAAATTTGTCACATCCAAGATTTTATTAATTTAATTTGTAATTTTTTTGTGGTTCATTTTATATTCAACATCTTGCCTTTTTCTGGCACTGTTTAGACACCTAAAGAAAAGCTAGCTCTAAAAACCCAAAGTGATGTCTTTGTTCCCACCTTTTAAATTATTTAACCCTCTGAAGCATAACTATGGAAAAATTATAAAATAATTTGAAAAATTGACCAATAAAAATTATATATATGCATATATATGTACAAATTTGCACACATATGAGTTTTATTTTGTATCATCTGTGATACACTAGGTATTTATCACACATTATCTGTTCACTAAATGTATTTGATTGCATATCTTCAGTTTTTCAAGAAGAGAAAATGAAACTGAGGGCATAGAAGTCTCAAAAAGTCATATATCAAATATGATACACTTTGTGTTGCAGGAGAATAATTATTTCCTCTCAGTTTTAAGGTGAAAATTAAAAACTGTATAGCAATGGAGTTTCTCCCATTTTACAATTTAGTTATAACTTAGTAGTTTAGTGTGACCTTCTTTAACATAGAAAGAGTTCCAGATTCCCTGATTCTGTTCCTCATATGTTCGCATACAGTATGTCTCCTCAAACCTCCAGCTGCACTAGACAGAAGGTTACTGAAACTGAGCCTGCTACTATTAGAAGATGTGGGTGAAGATTCTCAGTCGTCCACGTCATAGTAATTTCAAAAAAGTAAAAAAAAAATAATAATAAATAAAAAAAAATCCACAGGACATTGTTTCCAATGTTTCAAACTTGGAAACAAAGTCCAGTGGATTTTTTTTATTTATTTTTTTACTTTTTTTCGAATACTATTTGAATGTTCTTATTATTTGTTCCTCTCTACTTTTACTGCATGCATGCCCAGTTTCCTTAGATACAAAACTTTGGACCAATCTGTCTTGAAGATAGGATTCATTTGTCTCTGCAAAATGAATGGAGATTATATGTTTTGTGAATTGGCCCTATACTGAATTAAATCAAATTGAACTTGGTCCTATTTAGTGCCAATACTTTGATTATAAAAAGCAAAGAACCCTTTTATCTACGGAAAGTGGTATTTTTCTCTTAGATTCAGTACTTTCTGCACTTTGGTTACCTTCAGAAAACAAAAAATATTTTTTTTTACCATTTCATCACCTACCTTTTCCTGTGAAGACTCTCATTTTATCTACCTGAATAGAAATTTAAATGTAGAATGTTGTCTCAGGTTCAGTCCTACCAGAATTGTCTTTATGTTCAAAAGGCACCTGGTATTTTTGGTTGTTTGTCCCTTTATGGCTAGTTTTAAATTTCTTAAACAGATGTTCTAATTCAGAGCCAGGTCTATCCCCCCCCCCCCCCCCCCCAAAAAAATGTTAAAGTTATGCGATGAAAGACAAGTTAACATCTGGTCATCCAATGTTGCTGGAACTTTCCACACCTCTCAACGTATCTTGATTCCCAAACATCTGGATTGTGTTTAAATCAATAATAAGTCCTTCACAGAGTTTTGAGAGACAGTTTTCGCATTTATTTCGCATTTTTGGAGATTAAGGGATTGTGAATACATATGATTGTGTTTGATCAAAGGCATTATTTGGTTTTACTTTAAATATTTATTTTTGTTTTTCTTGCATTATTCCTGTTTACATCTAGGTAAGTTTATAAAACTAGAGTATTGGATAGAGAACCAATGCTTATTCGTTTTTTAACTTTATCACAAAAGAATAATAAAATAATTTTTTTTATTTCAATAATTAGCTGTTTTTTTAACTCAGTATGTTTAACTGTTTATTCAGTTTGGTCAAAAACTGAACTTTTCATTTTACTGTTACAAAGTTAAACTGCTTCCTTTATTTTAAGAATTGAAAGAATTATTTAACACATTTCTAATAAAGAGGTTGAAATATGCCAACAAATCACAGGAAATCACAAATTTCTCATAGATTTTTTTCAATTTTAAATTTTTAAATTCTTGTTTCAGATTTTGGTTCCTGTCCTTATTTATGGGAATGAAAGAGTGGGTCATAAACTACTGACAACTTATTATAAATCCTGGGGGTTCAAAAATGTCTATGGTCACTAATTTTAATTTTAACAGAATTTTAATTTATATTTGTCTTCTTCAAAACATAAATTAAGAAGAAAAAAATTGAAATGGAGGTCATTGTTAAACTCATTAAAACTTCTTTGGTAGGCAATAAAATACCTGGGTTAATTTTAGGACATTTTGCTATAATGTCATCTTTATGTTGGAAATCTCAGTATAAAAAAAAACAGTATAAAAATAAAGTTTTTATTTGCTTGTATTATTTTTTAAATTATTGTACAAAACTTTTACATTATAGTTAAAGAAATAAATCCGAGGAGGATCAGCTCTTCCTCTAGTACGGATGTTCAAATTGCTGTTAGACATTTGACGCCTTATGAAAGTCACGATTGGAATTATTTATTACAGGCTTTTTTAGCAGGAGTTCAAATTGTATGGGATGTATTCACTTATTTTTTAATAACAGCAATGACAACAGATTTTGTGTGAATTATAAAAACATATCAAAGTATTCGCAGATGATTCTTTTTTATATGTCTAGGACGGATTTTTGTATTTGTATACAGAATGTGTAAAATATTTGTTGCCACTGGATACTAAACGGTCATCGAGGTTTCTTTTGTTTACATACGGATAGAAAAATTAAACATTTAGGGTGATAATATTTACTGTTTTGCCCCTTAATTTTTATGTGCGTTAATAATACAGCCAACTTCCTTTTGTTCTTATGTAAGCAAACCCGAACTGAACATCATGTGAACATCTTATCTGGTCATCCAGGGTCAAGCGTGAACAATAACGCTGATTATCACCACGAGCTGTGGCGGAAAGTGTGAGCCTGCATTGAAGTTTTTTCTTTTCTTTAGTCTGCCTTGCCACCTATCACAATTCATTACCGCAAATTAGGGTTCAATAAAATTGCTATTCAGAGATAATTAGGAGCTGCTTTGTGGTGGCGAGGTCTTGGTGGAAGGGAAGGGGGTTGGGAAGGTTGGAGGGCAGAGGAAGAGTATTTGTGGGGTAAGGCGAGGGGGGGGGGACGTGATTTCCTCACGTCTTCCTGACCTAAACCAACAAATAGAGGGTTTGCAGCTGAAGGAAGTGAAATAAGACCCAGAACTGCTGTCCATACCAGCCTTCCTAAAAAGAAAAAAAAACACACACACAAAATACGAGAAGATAAACATAAAAGAGAACCCCCCCCGCATCCCCTAACCTGCTGAGTTGGAGTTGCTCCAAATCAAACAAATTATTTCATGCCTTCTTTTCATTCTGTTTCTACTTCACAGAAAAAAAAAGTGGTGTAAGGGTTCACCAACAAACAGTTGGTCCACATAAGGACGGCGGCTAATAAGGTCTGTGGGTCTGTGAGCGGAGAGCAGGAGCCTCGGTTACGCCTGCATATGTGCACAAAGCCGGGGAAGGTTTGTCTCTCGTTAATTAACACTTTCTCAATGCAACTGATCTTTCCGTTCGAGGGGGAGCGAAATATTTGTCATTTTTTGCCTTAAAGCAGATATATTTAATTAAGACAGGTCTGGATTTCTTTTATATCTGTATTATTTGCACAAAAAAAAATAAAGTACAGTAAAGTGCTCCTTTTTTTGTTGCTGTAAAAGTGTGTAAATAACAAAGAAGCTGTTTCTTTAATAGGTAAAATGTTATTTTTAGATAAACTAAGACTTCAATAACAAAAAAAACAAAAATATGCTTTTTCCTGTTACTGTATGAGCTTCCTTGTTAAAGAAACGTTTATAAAGGTTATAGAAAAAGTCAAAATAATAATTTATAATTTTGTGTCACATTTTTTTAGTGCCATTTGAAGCAAATTACCCCTTTTCTGTGTTTTTGTGTCAACCATGACTATTGTTTTATTGCACTGCTTAACAGCTTTATTCTAATTTGTGCTTCATTTCAATTGTCAGACTTTAAAAATATATATTTTGCAGATCAGCTTTAATGTCAAAATATTCATTGATTTGTAATTTAATACCGGGTGTATTAATAATAGACAAACTAATGGATGCTGTTGGTTTTCTTTAAGCTTTTTCAATAATCTAACTCAGATAGCAAATGAGGAATCCCTTCAACTAAACTGATAACAAGACGAATCTATAAAAAAACATCAACATGTATCCCACATTATAATCCAGGAATATGCAAGAAACATATGATGAACATTCATCTTTTAATTTGAAAATTATTTTAACTAGAAGAATTAACTTATTGTAGTAATCATTGTTGAAAGAAAGCTAACAATTAGGGTAACGCTCCAAAGATGACCAAAGAAAAACGCTTGAAAACAACCTGTAAAAATATGCAAAAAAACATCTCAGCAAACATTACTGCAATTTCATTTCAATATAAAAAAAATAATTTTTCATTCATCACTAAGAGTTTGAATATTGTTTGACTCATTGAAAACATGCAATCAAAACAATTTTTTTTTCTAAAAAAATCAAATTTTATCAAAGTCAAAATAGTTATCTAAAGACCTTGACAGAATACCCGTTTTGCAATCTTGTCAGTTCAATTTCAGCTTTCTTCTTTCAAATGTCGGTCATTAAATCAAAGGTTCTAGTTGATATATGAAAGTGTGCAATTAGCAGAGTGGTTATAGTGGTCAGTATACTGAAAAAAATAATGCAACCGCTTTTGGCATATACTTAATCATATTTAGTTACTTTAACAGGTTTTTTATGTCCTACCCTGCTAACTTGAAACTATTGTTACAGTAAGTAAATATGATTAAGTATATGCCAAAAAAGTAGTTTATTCAAGTATACTAAAAGTGCACTAATTTCATACTTAAAATCAGGCAGCACACTTAGAGTTCACTTATTCTAAACTATATTTCATATACTTAACAATAGTATAGTCAAGTGTACTTAACTTACACTGAGAAGTATAAAAAGTGTTTACTTAAGTATACTTTAGAAAACTTGAATAAACTTAAAAATGTCCCAATTAAGTATACTTCATGTACACTACTTTTTGCTAATAGCTGTGCATTGTACCTATATTGCAAAAAAACCAAAAACGTAATTTTTCTTAATCAGGCGTGTCATTTTTCACCTTTATTTATAAAGGTTGTTTCATTGAGATCCAAGATTTTAATTACAAGTGGGACCTGTTAGATCATGAAGTACAAGATACGAATAATTACATTAAAATGTGTTGAAAATTAGGATAAGCTAATTTTAGTTTGCTTTATTTTAACTTTAAAAGCACCAATTGAGCTTTAGCTCCAATTTACAATATTGTAATGTTTAAAATATCTATCAATGGTTTATGTGTTGAATTAAAAACATAAATAATGGATATATGGGACTTCAGCTTAAAAAAACAAGCCTTAAAATGTGTTTAAGGTTTTTATTAGCTAACATATGACTGTGCTAGCTAACCTGCACTTTAGCGCAAAATATGCATCAATCTGGTCTATTGTTTGTAAAATAACACTCAATGTCAAAATAAAATGATCAGGAGCTTTATATTATGAGCTTTGAGATATAATTAAAAGTAGAATTAGTTTGTACTGCTTTTTACGTTAAAACAAAAACATTAGCTTTTACTCGTATATGTATGTTTTAAAGCACAGAAAGCAGAAAGAAATTCATTGATTGTTTTGGATATGATCATTCATATAGTTATACATATTTTGGTAAAAGTTATTACTGGATTTAAGCTAAAACTTATTATTTTGCTTAGACATTATGCTAACAGGAGCTTCAGCTTAATGAAACACCATTTGCTGAGATCATAATACAGTCAGGGGTTTGATATTATGTAAAAATACACGAGTATCATCATGAATCTAGAGACCAGGGAGGCTCAGGACATTGTACTCTCTGGCTTCTGCTCTTGTGCTGCTGTTCTTAAAGTTTCTGCTACTGTTAAACATATAATTTATGATACTGACATTTACAGAAAATTTTGTTTAATGTATGCCCTGGCCACTATGCTTGAAAGTGGCTCTGTTTAAAGAATACTATACACTTCTGTACACTGGCCAGACCACCAGGTGTCTCAACTTATGTACATATTTATGTGGATATTATGCAATCCCACAAAAAATATAATTCTGATACCGATTTACCCTACAAGAAGCTCAATCAGGTCCGAGTCCAGACCATGGAATCATTGTAATTTTGTACAATTGTGATTGATAATATTTATTTTTTTATATGGACCCATGTGTGTCTTCAATAGAGTTCATGATGAAAAATAACATAAAAAATTATTCTGCTGTGGGTTTTGCTACTTTGTAAAACACATTTGTAATAGGCAAAGAATGTGGACTAAAAGACGTACAATTACGAATAATCCTTTGAATTAATGTGGAAATAAAATGTCCCCCTTTTCACTTTTTTCATTTTATTTTATTGAAATAAAGAGTACACATCAAGGGTGGCCACTTTTAATAAGTTGTGTCTGTTCATTCTTGAGTTCTGCTTTGGCTGCTGCTCCTGACATTCAGCTGCTCTGCTGAACCTGTCAACTTTAACTCTATTCGTTCTCGTGGCTGTTTGTGCCCCGCGTCCTCCTTCATCCTCCTCCTCTTCTCCCGTATCCTCCAGCTGTCTGCATTATGACTCTGGCTGCCGCCCCATCGCCACTGGAGGGGCCGTGTGAACTGGCCATTCCGGTCACCTCGCATCAGTGTTCGGCTGGAATGCGCCGTGGCCCCGGCCTCGGTCGGGGGGACACCACTCAGGGGGTTGAGGGAATGAGGTTGTCCTAGTCTGAGCAGGTGCTTAGTTAGGGAGAAGGGGGAGTAATGTTGATGTTTCCTCCCCCTTGCAAATCATTGTGGGTGGGGGGACATGGACACCGAGGGACACAGAGAGCCTGTGGGTGTGCTTCTCTAGAGGTCACTGTGTTAGATCGGAATCACACCGTGCCTTTACTTATTAAGTGGCTCCCAGTGGTCAGCCAGTGATACACGTCAGCTCAGCCTTTTCTCCTGCACAAAATAGAAGCTGGTAAAGAGACACCAGCCAGTTATTGAGACAGCCACTCCGCTGTTGTGTTTGTCCCTGCCACTACCTGCCACTGTGAAAAAACACGGCACATGATACCAGAGGTGTAGCGTTCCTTCTCCTCCCCTTATTGAAAGAAGTTCTTTACACACCAAACAGCGCAATGCAGACTCTCTGATCAGCAATTATGCCCTTTAGAGGTATTAAATACTGCTGAGAGGAGAAAACCACTGCCTCTAGGGACCACCAGCGGTCCATAAATACCACCTAAAACAAGGGGACCTGCCATTTGTAGACATCATCCAAGCATTAAACGCAAAACAATTATGTCACGTATATTTGGAATTTATTTTTGTGTGCAAAGAAGATGTCAAATCTTCGAGGTTATTAGCTGTAAGTATGTGTGTGGGCCCATTCTTGTTTATCTGTTTCCATATTTATAATTAGCGCAGGTCAGAGTTTTCCCCATTTCTAAGTGGTGAGCTGGCATGAAACATCATCGTCAATTAATATGCCATAATCACTGGGTTCATTTTCATATGCACTGTATGCATTTGTCTTTTAAAGCGATCCGGTTTGGCAATCCTGCCGCCTCTCCCTCTCTAATGTATGCTAATGTGAGTTAAAACACTGCAGATTGTCTCTGAGGAATAAGAATCCACACCGCCTCCGTACAGGCGGCGTGTTGTCTTTTTTTAAATGGAGAAAACTTCTCCGGGAGCCAGTTTGTCTCACCAGTTTGAAAGCGAACCCCTTTAGTATTGTTTTTTTGGGGGCGGGGGCTTATATGTGAATCTATGGCATTGCTTTACTAAAACATTCACAACCAAAAAAAAAAAAGGTTGTTTTTATTGTTACATTATCTCAGCTTAATTTCCAAAGCATGAAAAGTATCCAATGCAATTATATTCAACCCCTTTTTTACAGAACATCCTTGAATAGAAAAATACGATTACGGTAGCATCATTCTTTGGATAATCTTTTCTTCAGCCAAAAAGAGAGACTGGTGCTAATCCACGGTAATCTTCAAAAGAAAAGCCTGTTGAAGACTTGGGTTGAGTTTCACCTTTCTCTAGGAAAACAGACGTCTTATGTCATAGGCCAAATCAAAGATCTGCATCCATTCTAAAGGCAGGGCTCGATGTTAACCATCGCCCGATCTCCCAGGGTAAGTAGTTTTTATTTTTGGGAGAGTACAAATTTCATTGCATTTGCCTGCCAGGCAAGTACACATTCTCGCGTGGTTTGAAAAAGTCACGTGATTCTAAAAAGCCGGGTGATTTTCCGCCAGATGGCGTGATTTTTGCACACCTAGCGGTAATTTTGATAGTTACCAAAACGACAAACAAGCTAGAAAGCACTATTGCACCTGTGTTTCAGTATCATTTTATTCGCATAATCACTCAAACATCTCTTACATTCGAAGAAAACGACCCAAAAGTGTT